TGGGACCCCCAAGTTGCCTAAGCTTATGGGTTCTTGAAGCTTTTGCTAAGAAGAATAGTAGTAATAGTAATAATAATAGCAATAATAGTAATAGTAATAGTAGTAATAATAGTAATAATAGTAATAGAGTTAAGGATTCAGGGGCACCCACGGCTCATGTTTGGAAAGTTCCCTGAAAAGTTACTATGAGAACGTAGAGATTTAGGGGGTTGCAGGGTGCTCCATAAGCCGGGCCTTAAGGCTTAGAGTTCAGGGTTTTAACATCTTCGGGACGGAGGCATCAGTGGCTCTTTGTTTCATGTGGGGTTTCTTTTAAAACGCGGGGTCTTGCTCTGGAAGTTGGACAGAACTGTTGAAACCGGGTGCCTCATTCCTGGGTGGAAAGGGTAGTTTTTCATACATCGGGGGGACCCCAGAATACTCTAATCCTTCTTATTGGGACCGCCCAAGATGGCGCCCCTAATTTTTGAGAAGCCCCCAATTTTGTGTTCGGCGTCCACCTGTGTTCCTGGACCATGGGCCCAACAGAGTTGGTAAGGGAGTGCTTCAAAGTCATCACTACTTATGTCATTGTAAGCCCGAGGGGCATGGGGTCCCTAAAGGAACCCGTAGCTTGCAAAACCTTCATGTAGGTAGGATAAGATATGATTGTTTATGGTCTTACCACGAGGACACCCCATGTATGTACTCACCAAGTTTTCCAGGGAACCCCAAAGACACACACGCACACAAAACAAAAAAGGCCTTTCAGGCTAGACCTTAGGTCCCTAAGCCCTAAAGCTTCCAAACCCTTATAACTACAGGGGTTACAGGGTTATAGAAGGGTCATATTATATAGGGGTTATAATGGAGACTCAAATGGAAAAGAAAATGGAAAATGACATGGAAACGGGATTATTATGCCTAACCCAACGCCCTAATCCTCAAGAGCTAACCCGTCAACCGGTCCTTACACGCCCCCCCACCTTCAACACCGGGGGCGCTCCTGCTGCAAGAGAAAGAGGCGGCCAAACAAACATAGAATCCTACATAGGCCTCGCTGCAAAGAACGGTACACTAGTCCACAAAGCAGACCTGTTAAATCCTAAAGCCTAACCGGGTCTGTTTGGGTAGGTTCTTTTGGAGTCCCCACTTGCAAGTTTCTCAAAATTGATTCCAACAGAGCTCTGACACATACCCGCGCAATCCCCTCAAGGCCAGATATCCCTAGAATCGCAGCTCCTTCCAGATTTGCTACGGCAACCTTTCAATTGCGGAGCTTTTGCAGGAAGAGCCCTTCCATTCTCTTGCCCTGCCCCCGCTCATATTATACGGGAGCATTTTAGAGTACTAGAGTAGGGGGGTTTGTTGTTATTCTTAGGGGGCAAAACACCTTGCGGCCACCCCATAACATAGATAAATATCTTGCGATCGCCTTGTGCTCTTCCAGTGCCGCATCTGTGTAAATCTGGAAGCTCCCTGATGTATATATATAGTTGTTCTTAAAATATCAATTGAAGTTCTAAATTGCTAGTGGTCCAGGGAACTTAACCTAAACCCTAAACCCCTAAACCCTTATCAGG